CACAGTCACAGTGCCCGGAGGAGGTACCAGTTGTTGAGTACCCCCAAGGCCATCCCCCCGCAGACGTGAGCATCTCGACAACCGACACCCCGGGTGAGTCACTCATTCAAATGGCAGGTTTACCACAGCAGCAAACTTGCTCAGCGGACAGTATAGCCGCTCATGTACCTCATAAACTTAAATTAAAAATATGGGAGGGGCAATTTGTAGATCTTTCTCTCTTGCTAAAGTCGGCCACGGAATTAGATGAATGGGATTCACAAGGGGAAATCCACTTTAAAAATGGCCGTTTATGTGTTGTTAAGCGAAAACAGAACTCACAATTAAGTATAGAAAAGTGGACTTCAGCTTTCATGATTTACATGAGTATCATTTTCGAACACAGTGAGGCAAAAGCTCAAGAAATGCTAAAATATATGCGAGATATCCGCCTGGCAGCTAGTCGTTCGTATAATTGGTATAAGTACGACGAACAATTTCGACTACGCAGAGTATCAAACCCAACGATGTCGTGGGGGGAAATCCATAGTGAATTCTGGCTTATGTATGTCAGCAACCAATCAAATCTCAATTATACATCACAGCCACAAGAATATGCACATGCTAATTTAGGTCAATATTTCAAGAACACAACACAACATTTCCCCCCTAAAACAACACAGACAAATGCCAAATATCCTTTAAGCTGTAATATATACAACCAGGGTAAGTTCTGTACTTTCTTCCCCAGATGCCGCTACAGCCACACTTGCAGTCAGTGCAGAGGAAATCATCCCAGAGTCAACTGCGCAAGGAAATAAACATCTCTATACATTAGGGCATACTCCTATTAAATTTGATTCACTTAAAAAGCATTTACAAGGTTATGAACATTCTCAATTTCTGCTCCAGGGTTTTAAATTTGGGTTTAGACTGCAGTACCTGGGTCCTAGGAGAGCACGGTTAAGTAAAAACCTCCCAAGTTTGTACAAAAATTTGCCCACAGCGCAGCAAAAAATTAAAAAAGAATTACAACTCAACAGAGTAGCTGGGCCTTTCCCACAACCCCCCTTTTTAAACCTTCAAGTGTCACCATTGGGTTTGGTCCCTAAAAAAGATGGGGACATGAGGTTAATACATCACTTATCATACCCTCATGAAGATTCAGTAAATTTTTTCATAGATTCCACTAATATTCGAGTATTGACGAGGCGGCAGAAATGATTGCAGAGCTAGGGAAGGGAACTTTTTTGGCAAAGTCAGACATAAAATCTGCCTTTAGGCTTCTACCTATTTCCCCAGCTGATTTTGATCTGTTAGGCTTTAAGTTAGAAGGGTTCTTTTATTTTGACAAAATGGTCCCATTCGGTTCCTCAATAAGCTGTGCGCTTTGGGAGAAATTTGCACATTTTTTGCATTGGTTAACTGAACAGCATACAGGCAATAAGTTTATCTTGCACTATTTAGACGATTTTCTTTTTTGTGGATCCAAATTTTCTTCAGTTTGCCACAATACCCTTGAAAAGTTTAAGTCCCTTTGCGAAGAATTGGGTGTTCCAATAGCTGCAGACAAAACTGTCGGACCATCTACTCAACTTGTGTTTCTTGGTATCCTTTTTGACACCAAAAACATGACTATGGCTCTGCCAGCAGAAAAGTTAGATAAGTTAAGGCGTGTCATCAATTCCTTCCTCTCCTCAAAAAAGGTTACTTTGCAAGAACTTCAATCGCTCATAGGTCAACTTAATTTTGCTTGTAGGGTGGTTGCCCCTGGTCGTGCCTTTTGCAGGCGCCTCATTAATGCAACAATCGGAGTTTCAAAACCTCACCACAAAATTAGGCTTACTAAAAATATTAAGCAAGACCTCCTTATTTGGCAAGTATTTCTGCGATCATATAACGGTGTTTCAGTGATCAAAACCCAATTTTTAGATAATCAAACCATACAACTTTTCTGATAATGCAGGGGGAAGCAATGGAGGATTCGGCATTTATTTTGGGGGGAAATGGGCATTTGGGTCCTGGCCTCAGTCTTGGGCTAATTTGGGTATCACCAGAGACATGACATTTCTTGAAATGTTTCCAGTTATGGTAGCTATTATACTATGGCATGGGTGCTTACAAAATACAAAAATCCTATTCCACATCGACAACATGGCAGTAGTACATGTCCTTAACACACTATCTTCTAAATCAGACAGAGTTATGAATATTGTCAGAAAGCTTGTATTACTTTTACTACAGTATAATATTCAGATAACAGCAAAATACATACACACAAAAGAAAATTGCATTGCTGATGCTTTATCTCGTTGGCAGTGGGCCAGATTTCGACGACTTGCACAAGAGGCAGACCTGTGGCCCACACCGCTACCACGCCACATTTGGGACATTTAGAACAGGAGGCTTCAAGACTTTTGTATAGGTCGTTAGCACCCAATACTCACCAGGCTTATAACACTGCGTTAACAAAGTTTAAAAATTTCACTGCTCACTATGGGTTGGCTCAAAGCTGGCCTGTCCCAGTTCATCAGCTGTTACAATTCATTGCATACCTTTCAATCAATAACTTCACCTACAGAACTATATGTCTATACATTAGTGCAATATCTTATTACCACAAAATCAACGGGTTTCAGGACAATATAAAAAATTTCAGTGTTACAAAATCTATCGAGGGTGTTAAGAGGTCTGGTGGTTTAAGTAAAGACCTGCGACTCCCCATATCATTTCAGCTGTTTTGTAAAATTATACAGACCTTAAAATCGGTATGCCGCTCACCATTCGAGACTGCACTTTTTTGCGCAGCCTACACTCTTACCTTTTTTGGTCTGCTTAGAGTTAATGAAATTCTAGCTTTGTGCATTACAGATATCTCCAAAAGCAAAGCTGGTCAATTTTTCATAAAAATAAATAGATCCAAAACAGATCAAATAGGCAAAAGTTCAGTTCTGCAAATACAAAAATTACCAGACACACAATTTTGTCCAACAGCAACAATCGAGCCTTATTTGCAGTTAAGACCCCCCAATACAGATACACTGTTTGTTCATGTAGATGGTACACCGATTACCCGTTTTCAATTTCAGGCAGTTTTAGATAGGTTCCTCTCATTTCTGCAAGTGCAAGGTCACTATAGGTCTCATAGTTTCCGCATCGGCATGGCCACCGAATTGGCAAAACGCGGAACTCCCGATACGCAGATTAAAGAGATGGGTAGATGGAAATCTAACTCATTTTTGACTTACATCCGCCCGCAATAAATTGCCTGGCATATTAGTTCACCCCCATACAAAAAAAAAAAAAAAATAAAAAATTACACACATTCCAGGCATACTCCACAAATACCATACAAGCAACACCCGCACACACAAAGATGCTCTCAAGTAATTTTACCAAAAGAATATGCATAGTTAAATCATCAATCCCATACTGGGCTGGACTTGCTGCAGCTAGCAGGCTTGGTGGAACCAACTTCAACTTAAAGGCTTCAATCCTATGGATGGGAGTAAGCGGACTTAAGTGGGAAGAGCTACAAAAACCTGTAAATGACATGTCAAAAACCCAGAGCCCACCAGACTTTCTTATCATACATTTAGGTTCAAATGACCTAACCACTGAACAAATCACTTCAAAAACTTTCTCAGAAAATGCACAATGTACATTACTTAGATTTAATGCATTATGGCCAAGTACCACCCTCATTTGGTCTTCCATCCTACCGAGAAGGTATTGGCACTTTGCACCTTTGGGAATGGGAAATAAAATTAACAAAAAACGTATCAGAATCAATAAATGTATGAAGAATTTCATGGCTGACCAAGTGGAGGGTTTGTACATTGGCCACGATCACAATATTAAAGCCTCAGAAATAGAGCTGTTCCGAACAGACGGTACACACCTGTCGGACATAGGCAACAACATATACCTAAATAATATGCAAGCTGCCTTAGAACATTTTATCGGGGGAAGGGGTAGTCACTACCCACCATCCGACCTTTAATTAGGCTATCAGCTCCATATTTTGATATACATGTATATACTTATATGTCATTGTTTCCACTAAATCCAACATTGTTTTATTCTAGGAACATGTGTATATGTTAATTCATTGTGTTTGTTAGCACAGGACAGGCTGTTATATTTTGTTCATATATGTGATAATATACCTTTTGTATCATACCTTTGTTTACGAGCTCTAAGTGTAATGCTCATCAATGGTTTTAATAATGAAGTTGATAAAGCATGAAAAGGAGTTGGTTATTTTTAACCTTATTCTATATCAGGGATAATATTTCTGTTTTCTGACAAATGGAAAAGTTTTATAATGTAAAAGGTTTTTTTTGTGGGGGACATTGTTCAATGTCTGTGGCGGGACTGGGGAGTCCGCAGTGGTAGGTGTTGACACTTTCTGCTCCAAAACCTGGGTGTCTCCCCCCACTTGCTCCCAAAGCAAGGGGTTTAAATACAGGATTTAATTTAAAGTGTAAATTTAATTAAAATATACAAAGTCAGGACACAGTTAACTGTTGTCAGTATTCTAATGTTTTTGGCATAGTGGGGCCCACACCGGGTATGGCTGGGGCCACATCCACCTCACCTGAGTGAGGGGATGCTACAGGCTGGTGCATGTAACAATTAGGCTTGTGTATGCCTCCCTCATGCAAATGTTAAACCAGGTAGCACTGCAGGAGACAGGGTGAGAAGGGCAGGTCATGCCTGCCTCCTTAGAACGCTGGTGATCGTTCAGGCTTGGGTACTGATGTTCACGCAGGCCCCCAGTGTGTCCCTTTCATGTGACGTTAAACTGGCGCACTGGACGGCTCTCCAGTTTCCCCACAAAAAATGTTAATGGGCAAACATCCACCAATTCTTATTATTTACGTAATAAATGTTGAAACGGTAGTTTATTTTCAGTTGTCTCTCAGGAATTAGCATGTAGAAAACAATGATAACCAAAGTGTGTTTTAAAAGCAATGTCTTATGGGAATTTGGTCTTTTTGGTGAATTCAATAATTAATATATTATATATCTACCGATATTTATTCACAGGCATTTGTGCTAATTTCTATGCCTCTATATTGCTTTTAAAAACATCTGATTCTCTAGTTTTAAAAATGTCATATGATTGTTTCGGTATAAGTAAAACAGTTATGTAATGTGTATTTAGGAAACAGCAATTTATAGTTCTCCTCAAAAGGAAACTATTCGCCGCCCCGGGAAATAGTTGCCTCCTCGAGGAAACATAAATTTGGTATTTCTCCCATACGCATACATTACTGTATAATATTATATGTATAAATTTGGAATACATTTAAAATTTGCTGGAAAAAATGTAGACAAGAAGAGGACTTATGTTAGCTTAATATGTTCCTACAGAACGGAAAGATCCCATGATGACAAATATCTCCGTTACTCCGTTGCGTTAAGTCCAACCTAGGGTACGTATATGGCTTACTGTCTTAAAATGGAATATACGTAATAGATGAAAATAGATTAGCAAACCCTTTTAATAAAACTTAACTCCACATGAATTTCACATAATATTCTCTATACTTGCATCTAAACTCCATTGTACGTTTCTTTGAACATGCCATTTTAGCGAAATTCTCTTTACACGACATGATAAATACCCAAGTTACCTTTACTTGATGTACACATATGGCGTCATCGGTGCTGGATTTTTATAAAAATGACAGATACAACATAACAAAATAAAAACATTTTAGTTTTGTTAATGTTAACACGTTTCAATTCCCTTTCTAGAGTTAAGTCACATTTCTAAATACCAATATCACGAAACTTGTGTTCTAAAATTAACGTCATCTTGCCTACTATGACTTCATAATGTTTCACTGATTAAGTCAATGTAGAATTCTGTACTATGCTTTATTATTCTCCCTGCGAGGAGATGAAATTCTAATATTGGTAAGTAAAGCACTAAGGATGATGTACAATTTGAAGCCCTTCACCAGTATAAGATATAGTTACTATATGAGTTAACTATCTAAAATAGGACGTAAAACAACAATCTGTCAAAAAAGTTTAAAATTCAGATGTAGTGTCTTTTAAAAAAATTTGCCAATTTCTTTCAAGATTGGTTTTGAATACATTTATAAATGAAAAATATCTTAGTTTATATGAATACTTTTCAATTTCTAGACCTTATGTATACACACATTGCAATTGACTGCAGTTTGAACCTTTCCACCCTGGTTTACACCCATAGCTACATTCTCCATGTACATTGTGACACACTCCCCTTTGGCAGTTAAAGCTGCAATGTCTGGAGCACTTGTCTCCATACCATCCTTCGTTGCACGCTTTTGAAATAAAAAAGGTAACCGAGAAGGATTAAACAACGATTAAAGTTTTTGCAGCTTTCAACATAGTACAAAACAAAGTTTAGAAAAAATAAAATTTGGAAACAGTATTGTATAGAAATATTAATTTTTTTTTTAGAAATCCCGTTTTAGTATTATTCCCTCATTTAAGCTTTAGATAGGTTTCCATAAAATACATGCATTTAGAACATAACAAAAATAGACTAAAATAATATTTATAATCTCGGATTGAGGGTTTCTTTCATTCTGAACTTGATTATAATAATTATTTCTTGCCTTGAGTTTAAAATATTTTTAAAGAATGTGTCGAAAATATTTTTATAGAGTGACATTCTGTTTGCAGTTTGTTTATTGACATACTTTAAAATCATCAAAAGCATCACTGCTTAACAATAGTATCTTTCTATGAAATTTAATAAATTTTAAAAGACATAAATATCGTTCATGTATTCAAGCACGTTTGTATACAGAAATAACCTCTCCCACCTCCATTCTGAAATGGATAGTTTTTGCGCCTTTATCATAGAAGAATAACAAAATCAAAACTCGCGTATTGAACAATAATCAAAATTTTGTAAATTCATTCGGTGGAGCATTTTTATTTTATAATATCTTAAAAATGCTACAATGACTAAAAATATCGGAGCATTCATTTATTAGGTACAGAATATGGTCGTTATACATCGAATACCTCAATACTATTAACTAAATTAATTAATTTTCTTATTTTAAATCAAAATTAACAAACCAAAGAAGTTATTCAAGCCTTTGAAAAAGATAGAAATAATATATTTGTTGTATAAAAAAGATAGTACAAGAAACACATGTGGTTTGAAACGCTTTTCAAATTGCGTACACATGTATATTGATTTAAATTTTAGACGACAATTTATGTAACATCCTTAAATATAAATATTTTTTTTAAAAAACTTATTTCTTTGTCTACTTCAAAAGTCCTGTGTGGATATATATGGAATCTTACTTTTGTTGCAAAACTCTCCGATCCAGCCAGCTGTACACCCAAGACAGGTTCCATTTGTTATATGACATCTTCTGTCCTGACAGTGAAGAGGACATGTAAGATCACAGTTTTGACCATAAAATCCATCTTTATGACAGCCTTGTAAAACAAAAAATCGTATGTAGAAACGCATTTATATCGTTTTATATGAATGTTTATTGTATTTATGTATAGAAAATTGTAGTATATGTATTTATTACCAGTTACAATTACTTCACATAACTCTGTTAAAACAATGCTTGTCTCATAGCCAGTAGGGTATGTGGTTCCATTTCTTTCATTATAAAATGTAACATAACGTCCATAAATAGTACAGATATTGATAAAATCCAACGGAGGTAATTCTGGTCCGTTCCTGTAGCATATATTACTCCATTGTATTTCTGTCGTGTTCGATATATATAGAGAAAATCCCCCCAGTCTTCCTCTTTGACGGTGATCTAAAATTATTTTAGAAATTCCTATCATTGTTTACATGTACATTTACACGTGTAAGTTTAATATATTCGCAAAAGAATTATTTATGTTATTTTTGTAATGCTGATCATATGCATTTCACTTAGAATAAATTTTAAACGATACTATTTTAAAAAATAGTAATCTTCTTGGATAATTAGTTCTCTTTTGATAAGCATAAATTGAATCTGATAGATGACTATGTATAAATTTAAACAGAATTTATTTCAGGAAATCTTAATCCATATTTATGAGTGAAAAGTTTTCGAGAGGGACGTTAAATAATATAGAGTCAATCAATCAATCTTTTTAGCCCTTAACAATAATTTTGAAACTGTTATTTTGCAGGGAAACTTATAATATTTGAATATTTTAAAGATCATTGAGCAATAAATTATTTTTTTTTAAATTACATAGTATCATAAATGCAAATTTGCACAAACAATTGAGTAACGCACGTTAGAGCGTGATGAAACTTGTCTGCACACATGTGCTGTCATGAGACTATATCATTAAAAATAGTACATGTATATTGCTTATACTTATATTCTCATAGCTCTCTCCCTTGATTTCAAATGTGTGATTTATTGATGTGCAGAATACACAAACTTGTCGCGTATGCATATTTCATGAAGCACGCTTGCGCTTTAAGAAAAATATGCCTACGTTTTAGTCGGCATAATTTACGTACATGTACCAATAGTTCATACATGTATAAAACTGAAAAGCATTTCTGATATTTATATTTCACGTATATTTGCAAGCACAAAAATACACTAAATTTTTTAATTTCTCGCAGCCCTGTATCGTTGCATTTTACTTACGTTGCTGTAGCCTCATTGTGAGGTCATGTCAGCACAAAGTTCTCCGTGTACATTTCTATGCGTGAGCATACACGAATATGATATTGAGATCAATTTCACAGTTGGCTTCGTAGGAAAACACAGCGAATATCGATATTTGAAAACTAACATAACAGGTTCTAGTCAATGTTAGCGAGGTTTTTGATTTCCGATTATGACGTTGTACTTTCTCGGTGTTCAATAATTTGATGATGAAGTCAAAATAAAATGTTTTAATCTTTCAATTTTATGGTGTTTTTAATGCAATAAATTTCAGTATTCACTTTATACGCAAAGTACATGTGTAATGTACATGTTTGCTGTTATCTCACTTTTTAACAAACTATATCAATGTACCCTGTTTGAAGGAAATCACAGCTATCTTGTAGCAAACTACCCTCCATTTAACAAAAAAGGGAAAAAATCAATTTTGACTTTTTACTGTTTAAAATCTATAATTTCTTATCTACATTCATGATCTCAAGGAGGCAGAGTTAGAAGAAAGTTATAAAAAGAGGGATATGGAGATTGCGAACAGAATTCAATTTGAAAGTTCATAAACAATGCAAAAAAGGAGCAGAGCAAACACGGACCTCCGAAACATCAGAAATGGGATCAGGTGCCATGAAGGAGTGAGCACCCCCTGTTCCCCAGTATAGACACATATAGACTTACATATTCAATCCTATTATAAATGGAATTTTGCTGTGTGTAAGAATATTTTATATTTCTTACTCTCACGATTTTACTCTCACATTCAGAATTTATAAAAACCGAACCTGACGTCTTGTCGAAAAAAAGTAAATCTGTAATCTACTCATCAATGTACGAATCTAATAACACATCACACATAACGAAATAACGACTTTAAAAATTCCCGTTTTTTCACTACCGACCCCTCCCGCCCGGAGAGGTGGGGCCAGACTTCCACTGGTAGAATACTACTGCCCCACAACCCAAGTTTAGACCAGGGACCCCTAACCAGGTCAAAATAGGTGCTGGGTAGCTGGAGTAAAGCTCAACATGTGGTTTTGAAAAGGCTTGACCATGTGGTGCTTGCTGCGGTGCGACACTGGCTGAAACTGCCAGAGTCTTCCATGTTCTATGCGAGTTTAGGGGATGGGGTCTTTTGGTTACCAGTGTTAGCGAAGTCAGAGCTTCGAAGTTGGGCAATGCACACTCCAAGTGGCATCTCCTCTGTTGAAGGAAAGGTAGTAATAATCTGGTTGTGGACAGCAGCATTTTAGCATGTAATTATTCTACCGATGGAGTCGCCCGCGTGGCGAAGTGGTTAGAGTGTCTGTTCAAGAATTGCGAAGTAAGGAGCTTTTTCTTACGTCGCGGGTTCAAATTCCACCGTAGGACGTTGAGACTGGTCCTTCAGATGAGACCGAATAAACAGAGGTCCCGTATCGCAGTGAGTGTTGCACGAAAAAGATCCCTCCCTGCTCAAGGGCCCTGAGTGCCGAGAATAGGATAAAACTTGCAGCTCTCCACCGGCAAGTCTCCAAATGATTGAATCGAGAGGGGCATTAAACAATAATTAGAGCTTAACGGTTACCCCACTTTTTAGCAAGGGGATAGCTGTTGATGGAAACCTAGCTTGAGATAAGGGGTTGAGGGTTTTCGTGGTGGACCCCCTTCCAAAAGTAGGCACGGCAAAGATATATATATTATTATAACAGTAACTTGATCCGAAGGGTCGTATCACGTCGAGTTGACAGGCGCGGATCGTCAGATCAAACGAGACGCGAAGCGTCGAGTTTGATCTGATGATCCGCGCCTGTCAACGAGACGTGATACGGCTCTTCGGATCAAGTTACTGTTATAATGATAAATTTATTATATACCCCCTTATAACTGGCGAAATATATTAAAATAAACCTTTAGAGATCAATTGTATAATATTAATCCATTAGACAAAGCATAATTACAAGGGACTTTTTAACGCGCAAGAAAAATAACGTCATATTTCTAGGTACTACGTCATCAGTTTCAGAGAGTGGTGATATGGATTCAGAAAACAACATGTTGGTGATCCGGAAAGTCGGATCACGACGTCACGTGATTGCGTTAATTCTACAGTAAAATTGAGTGATACACGTTAGGTATGTAATAAGATTGATTATCACAGCTTTATTCGCGACTTTTATCGTTTTACTTTTAAACGTTATCGTCATTACGTAAGAAACTTATTGATTAGAAGTATTGTTTTTATGCTGATACCTTTAAGTTTGTGAAAATTATGTCTATCAAAAATGTTGACTCACTCATAAAGCTGCCTTTGTTTGTCAAAAAGATATTGTCCTGCTTTCAGCAATATTTTCTTATTTTTCAATACTCTTCCTTACTTGACTTTGCAATTGCATAAATGTAAGTACGTTCTTGTACCTCATGTACCATTTTATGGTTTGAGATTAGATAAACATACAGACAATACATGTATTTGACTACTTTTAAACAATTTTCTCTCTTGGGTGTTTTTATAGAATTATCTATACGTTCATATAAGTATTCTTCTACTTTACTGTTTTCCTTTTCCGAGTAGCGACTTATTTAAAGGGGGTGTGAAACCAATAAATATACAATCAGTTTAATTTATCTAAAGCAATATTCTTAAGGTACATCGATACTCTGATAAGAGAGATAACTCTTAATGACATAAATGTCCATTATTCCTTTATAAATTTATCAAGTTTAAGTGTCTTTTTTTTGGTCAAAATTTGCCCCGCAAGCCATGCTATAATTGTTTGTATTTTATTCAGCATATATATTTCCTTTGGAAAATCATAAAAGTTAAAAAAAAATTCATATGAGTGAGCAGAGGGTTAATGAACCTTAATTATTCATCTAGTTTTATCGCTACATACAATATTGTTTTCCATAGTCTCTAAACTGTATCCTGATACTGTATATACTCTTTATGTCACCAAGGTCCACCCTCCACCACACTGTTTTGTCTGGGAAAGAGGAACCAATTGGTTTAGATCTCATACAAGTATTCATATCTCCATCAACTGCATTGTTTGCTGCATACAGGTGGCAGGATGGTACACATGTCCATGTCGAACTCTGTATACAACTCCTTCCCTCTGATAGATTATCTATTAAATATAGAAAAATACAATCCGGTGCAGTTTTAAGTAAATGAAGAATAATTTTTTTGCTTGACAAAAAAAGGTTTGTTTTACTTTCTTTATTCATTAGATTTTTGTTATAACATAAGTGACATGAATAGACACGATTTTTTTTATTTTGATCTTTCAAAATTTACGAGAATGTGCAAAAATGTTATCACAGTGAGATGCACGATAGCTGAACATGTTGTGTTCATGTGGCCTGCTAACATTATCCATGTTACTATTGTTTTATCATATTAACATTACGTGATCTGTCAAAATTGTGCATTTAGTGTGTAAAGTTGGCTGGTATAAAAGTGCAGCTGCTTGAAAATAATGGATGACAATTAAATGTAAAGATGTTGTTTACATCTTTTAATTGCAATGAACGTTGATGTCAAAACCATCAGTGGAACAATTGACATGGATAAAGTTTGTGATAAAAATATAATGATGAGGATAATTCAGTATATCTGATTCAGATGCATTCAAATGAACCACATACAATATACAATTATCAACCTTCTTTACATTGAATTTGAAAATAAATTATTTTTAAAGAAGTTTATATATAAATGGTTAATTACGTTGTAGCAGAGAAAGCGGGTTTAAATGCTTTACGGATACTACATGTAGAAAAAATGTATTACTTTACTAAGTTAATTTCCATTATATCAGTTTTCAATATTAATTGTCTTTAAATTATTGGCATGTAGCATAATCAACATTTCTTATGCATTTGTTAAAAAAATATTTTCAGTCAGTAAAATGAATCGACAAAAAATCTATTTCTGCTACACGAGCAAAGCTTTTATATATTTGTTAGCATACCGTGCTTCTTTAAAATTTCCCTTGAATAATAAATTGATTAATTTAGTAACTTTATTCAAAGTGTTTTATGGAAAAAGTACCAAATACAATGATTTTTTAAGGATAAATATCATTGTCATTTTTATTGTTTTTGAAAACTGACGAAATTTAACAGATCCGGGAAGGCAATATCGCTAAATGATAATGCATGGATGAATAGGGATTTATTTTAAAGGCAAGGTCAGTTCAAGGTCGATGTCTTTTTAATTGACATTTTGCATAGAATTTACTACATGTACAACGTATTTCCAATCATCTGATGCGTACTTCTGTAATTTCTGACATGAACACAAAAACATATTTTAAAAAGATATATTTAAAATCCGAATTTACTATATTTTTCTAAAATTCTTAGTAAATATTAGTATTTCAATATGTTTTATATATTCATTCTTTTTCTAATTTTTTCATGTGTAAAAAAGTTTTCTAATAAAAGTACATAAAATGGTATGGAATAAAAGATTTGACAGTTAACTTTACTTACAGCAAAAAACTTTTTTTTGTTCAAATCTTCTTCTAGATTCAATGCTTTCAGAAGCAAACAACTTCGTAATTTGTCTTGAAAATCAAATTTATTTTACATACATGTATTTTAAAACCTTAATCAAAATATTTATTTGAGTTTCGTAATGATTTTTTTTTAGGTATTTGGTTGTTTAAAATGTGCAACTAACTTCAGTTTTCAGTAGTAAGCTTCATTTAGTGTATGTTTACTAGAAAAGAAGAGAAATTCATACACCGTCTTTCTGCCAAAATATAGTCCCTTCTTATACGTCTGTCATTTAACCACTTTTGTTTCATATTGGAGACGGAAGTAAAAATACTTATTTAAATTCCTTTCTTATTAATGGATAAGACATAATAGCAAATATACACAAATATACTTCAAGTACTTGTATTCAGGTTGTAAAAAACAGGACAATGACAATTACTCCTTAAATGTTTCCAGTAAATTTTAACACAAATACCACTATCACATATAGCGATATTATCAAATTTCGCCGTTACGTAAATATGAAGCGATATAATTTACTTATAGAATGTTCCAAAACAAGAAGCTGTGATAAAAAATGTATCCTATTCATTTTCCCTGATTATTGCAATGCCAATCAAGAATAAAAACATTTCTCTGATTTGGTGAGCAAGAACCATGAATATTAAAAAAAGCATTATAAGAGCATTACGTAAGCAAAGCCCCCTACCGGAATCCTCTATACTCTTTAGAATGTCATTTCATAATATTCCGTGTATGTAAAAATGCCCCCAAAATGTGGACCTTTCGGTAATTACTTGTTCATGAATAAAATGTCATCAGACATACACACAAGCTCAGATCAGAACGGTTCATTTTTTTTTACATTGTTTAAAGCAATTATGAAAAAAGAAATTAAACATGATCGATGGTTTGTCACTTAGTTTGAATAATCGGTGTCCTGGGAGAAGCTCTCACCCCAGTTAGAATATCTCACATACACTCTTGATGCAACAGGGAATTGCAAAATGAGAATCGCCCCAACATGATTTTGAAGAAATAAAGATGCACTGCAAATAATTACTAAATTAGGTAAAACAAAACTCTTCGATGCTGTGTATGATTTTAACCTAAAACATAATCCACATCAAGACTAAAATTCAATAATTAAATTTTCAACGACTTTTAATTTGTTCGCTTCTTATTTACACATCATGTTGATATTCAGAACTAGTATGTACTAAGGGTTATCTCCCTTTTTGTTTGCCATATTGACAAAACTCTGAATGCATTAAATGGGGTCTACAGGTCATCTATACTCTTACCTGTATAATTGATGGAACATTCTCTCTGATTTGTCACTCTAAAGCTACCCAAGGAGTTTCAAATAAATAATTTTAATCAAGACAATATGGTTTGGAACATTATTTAGTGCAGCACGAACCCGATCTTCAACAATATTTTAATGAAATTAAAAATGCCATAACTCAACCAAAAAGAAATGAAGCGGAACGAAATGCCAATTTGGGCAAACTTGACCTGTAACTCATCAAGGTACACTCACTTACCAAAAATCAGCTCAAAATCTGCGTTAAGAAAGAAGTGCGGAAAACCAAGTGTAACACTTGGTTTGAGCAAACTTGACCTGTAACTCATCAAGGTACACTCACTTACCCAAAATCAGCTTAAAATCTGCGTTAAGAAAGAAGTGCGGAAAACCAAGTGTAACAGACTGAAAGACAGACAGAGGGACAGAAAGATGGACGGATAGGCGGCGGATGGAGAGAATCCGAGGAAACCTATAGTCCCCTCTGGTTTCACCGGTAGATGACTAAAAACATAGGCGTGTGTTCTTCATTCTTTTATGTTCTTTATTTCATGGGGAAAATTGAAGAAAATATATTGAAATTGATTAAATAAAGCTTTATAGTATAATACAATTTTGTACCTTTTTATAGATCTTGGATTCGATTACTACAAAATTCGTAGTTAAACATGCATAAATAATGTATCAATTTAAAGTACATAGACATGATCATTAGATTTAAAGTTTAAAATGTTATCGCTGTAATATGAAATACATTTACTCGCATAGCCTTTATTACATTTCTTGTTATTGGTGTGTTTGTTGACATATCTTTCAAGAATGTCTGCTGTAAAGAATTAGAGAGGGGTGTGTTAAAATGCAATATTTTAAACAATCTTTGTGTCATTTGTCCGTTTGAATAACGAAGTAATAAGAAATCAAAATACTGATATCAGAAATAAATGTATATGCCTTAATCATTTTTTACATTTATTTACAGAAGCAACGATGCTTATTTTTTACGTTAATGACCGAATCTTTTGTAAAGCTGTAGAAGAAAGTGTGGTTGTATCTAGGATCAAGGACATACAGTACACGAGCGCTGGGTTGCTGTTACTCAACAGGGGATAAAAACTTTGGGAAAATGTAAGCATTTAAAAGTTTTGGTTTCTTTCTTTTATTGAATTTACAAAAACACACAATCTTGAACATGTAAACAGCAAGCCTCTCCTTAAACAATACAGATACAGATTTCTTATATTTTGTATATATATTTCGTGTATATACTAATTCATGATATTAAAGACTTACCATAAGCGTTGGTTGAAAATGTGTGCATAAACAACAACAAAATCAGAAACTCCATCTGCACCAGTGAACAGATTAATTAAATAAGGAAGTATAAAAGCTACTGTATGAATGGCCTTTAATAGGCATATGTGCATGAGAGATTTATTTAAAAGGAAGTTTTTCAATATTTGTTTGTGTTCAACCTTATGTAAACTTAAAAATGTCTTTTAAAAAACTGGCTCAGTAAATTCTTTCAAGCAGGAGTTTTCTTATTTTGAATACTTTTTCAAGCATTGCGTAATTTTTTTTCTCTTATCTATTAAAGATGACTAATTATAACATCACTTCCATACAGAGCCACGGAAGATATGTGTTGTCAAGCATTTTCTAAAAAAATCTTATGTCAGTACTTTATATTATAACTTAAACCAATTGATGTTGTCGTTGTGTTACTCAATGACCCACTTGAAAAACTGCTCTAGGTACACTTTACTAGTATCATTGGATGAGCATTTTAAAACATTTCCTAATGTTAACAAAACAGTATCTTGATTTAATGAAGTAAAAAAGGACACAGTCATAAAAAAAAGACCAGTCTTTTAAAAAAATCATTTTTGAAATTATTTACTCCGAGTTTCTTAATTTTTTTTTCTATTTTGGATCAGAATATTAAAAAAATTAACATACATATTTCAGACAAAAATAGTTCATGCTTAATCAGTGTATATCTATGTACCTAAAATAATATTACATTTGCATTAATATTTAAAAGACGTTTATAAAAGTTTATTTACCTTGCACATCTACATACAATTAATCAGCTAATCAAACAGTGTCCACGATTAAGACAACTTTCAGGAAGCGTTGAATGAGTCTTTAATTTCATAAAACTGGCCCTCTGAGCAGGATATGCTCTAAATTTCCTCCCTGTATCAAATGTTATTTATGATCTTATCCATTAACTTTTGCAAACTTTCTGTGGTTTCTTTGTTGCAAATGTTAAACTAAACACAATACCATTTTGTAAAAAAATGTAGAAAGAAATGTTACAAGGGGAGCATACAAGAGGTATATCTTAGAATTTTCTTATACCTTCATGTTACATTCTAAAATTTGATTGGATTTGACGTCTTTAACCTTCACATAATTGACGTCAATAAAATATTGTGTTTGATTTCGATTACTTGATAAATGCAAATGGCAAGCAAACATGGTTGCGACCGAGTGCAAAGATAACTAGATGATGTCATGAGACAGTAATACCCGCACTAAGGGGTTTGCCTCTAAATACACACTCCTTCATATTGGACTTTCCAAGGAAAAAGTCAAATAATTCTATGATTATCTCCGTACATGTATTCGTCAAATTGAGCATAAAATTTTCAGGTGACCATATGATCTATGAGCCTCATAGATGTATTTTCTATACTTAATTCATTACCAGTCTGAAATAACAGAATTTAATTAATAAAGTAAATTAATTAATTAGATTCAGATAAATATTTTGCCCATAATTTGGAACTTTTTAAATTTACTTTCTCAATAATATAAACTATTATTTTAGGAAAAAAACCCATTTAAAATTCAGCCCAATGATTTGTAAATGCCTATCCCCCCCCCCCCCATCAGACACACACACACACTCTCTCTCTCTCTCTCACACATTTTTTTTTAAAATAGACCTAGATGGCAAAGTTATGCTAAAACATCGTTTATTATGATAGTTTGAAATTTGTTCTTGTACTAAACAGTTTTACGTGTGAACATCTTATTGAAAATTTCTACATTCACATTGGGTTTGCGTCACCCATTATCATATTTTTAGATGTCCACTGGGCACACCTCGGCCGATTCATACTTCATCTAATGAATGAGATTATTTAGCACATGTATGCTGACGATGCAGTGTGGTCAGTTAAAATCATTTGTGTTTTAATTGGATTATATGGATTATATTTCATGAAGTCGTTGTCACGACCTATGACATTCGGTAAGTACAAGATTTAGTATAGATTGCATAAGAATAAATAAATGCAAATGGTTAGGTTGAAGTTCAAAAAGGGTCAAAGATCATCGCATGCCACAGTCGACAAATTTCACATTGTCAAGTTATCTCCCATTGCCGACATTCAGTATATACACTATTACAGGCGTAGATCCAGATTTTTTTTTTCGGAATGGGGGGGGGGGGGGGGGGGGTGTCACACCTCATTCAAAAAAAAATCCAGCCCAAGATTTCCCGAGAAGCAAATAAAAAAATAATAATAAAAATAATGATGGTGAGGTCCCTGTTTTCTAAGGGGGAGGATGTCCAAAGTCATTTTTATTCTCTTCAGTAAATAGTCTTATCTAAATAACTGCAAATTCAAGGGGGGGGGGGAGGGGGTGTCTGATCTCCCTAGCCACTGACTCCCTGTAACTTGAAATGACAAATGATCTTATGACTCCATAATAGTAGAAAATTTTTCCATTTGACTATATATACATATTTTGTTTCCTGTGTTTATACATGTATGTCTGTTTGTCTGTTCACAGAAACTTTAACCTTGCCCATATTTTAGTTTTAAGTGGATTGGGCTATACACATGGCTTCCACATTTCATAGGTAAATTTCTTTTGGCAAAACCTTTTAATGGGTACCACCAATTTTGACCTCTTGATCTCTTGACCTTGGAGTTTGACCCACTTTTACAAGAAAAATACCTTAAACTTGGCCTAATTTAAGTTTTGAACAGTTGGTGCTAGGACTTTCATGCTTAACATGTATAATCATTGTGAACTTTCAACAGGTATAAATATTTTTGACCTTGACCCTAGAGTTGAATCCAACTTAACTTTAACCTTGGCAATGACTTTTGAACAGATGAGGAAGTACTAGGAATTTCTCTCTTATTTCACATGTGTATTCCTTGTGACAAGACTTTCCCTTTGATACCAACAATTTTGACACTTTGACCTTGACCTTGGAGTTTGACTTACATTTGAGAAACTTCAACCTTTGCCAAAAGCTGCCATAACACTTGCTGTCACAACAAACAAACAAATTACTAAAAGAAAAAAACACACAGTATACATGTACATATTTTATATTCAACAGATATACTTCTGGTCATATCTCAAGTTCTCCCTTGAATCAGACATGGTGATATAAATATTTTGAAAATAATTATTGTAAGAGTTGAAAAGGTTGTGCATATTAAAATATACTAAGCTCTGCGGATGAATTAGATATACCAGTTTAGCTTTATTTTGCTACCCAAAGCACCTTGATTAACTATTTACAAGCATACTGTTTTCTGAAATGTACTGTTTTCTGTCGTCCATCTGTTTTTCTGCAAACTTTTTACATTCTTAACTTCTGAATTAAGAACCACTGAGCCAATTTCAACCAATTTACATGTAAATATGCAGGGGACTTTTTCCAACATAAATCTTCTTCTCAAGAACAGCAAGGACATTTATTGTCCCCCATTTTCGCTAAAGGTAGGACACATTAAATCTTATTTGTTTGTCAGTCTATCCATCTGTCACAATAAGTTTAACCTTGGTCATCATAGTCATATATTTTGAATGAGAAGAGACAGGACTTTTATATTAAACATGTGTATTAGTATTTAATGGGACAATATCATTCTAAATACACTATGATTTTTATTACCCATGACCTTGAAGTTTGACCTACTGTCATGAACAAATTAATTGTTTTAAATTGATCATTTTGAAAGATAAATGAAAGAGAATTCATATTACCTGTGATAAGACCTTTCCAAATCTATCATGACTTTTTGACTCTGTGACCTTGACCTTGAAGTTCAACTTACTTTTCAATAATGTTGTATTTCCTTTTGATTGAGAAGAGATACGACTTTCACATTTCAAGTGTACATTACCCATAACAAGATGTTTCCCAACATGCTATGATTTTTTACGCCTTGACCTTGATGTTTTACCAAAATTTCAAAAGAGTGAACTCTCCCAAAAGAGGATTAGGCCACTGTGTAATATGAATTAGGAGTTTAGGGAAGACGGGCTTTTTGCATAAAAAACATCATTTTTCCACCCCTATTTGACACCCCGGGGCAAAATCAAAATTCCAAAACCTTACTACACATTTACATGACCCCATCATCCATCTCCCAAAAGATGATTAGGCTGCTGAATAAAATGTAAGAAGAGTTCAGGGAAGATGGGGCTTTTTGCATAAAAAACGTCATTTTTCGACCCCTATTTGACGCCCCGGAGCAAAATCAAAATTCAGAAACCTTACTACACATCTACATGACCCCACCAACCAACTCCCAAAAGATGATTAGGCTGCTGAATAAAATGTAAGAAGAGTTCAGGGAAGAAGGGGCTTTTTGCATAAAATACGTCATTTTTCGACCCCCATTTGACCCCCCGGGGCAAAATCTAAATTCTGAAACCTTACAGCACATCTTCTTGACACCAGCAACTATCTCCAAAAAGATGATTAGGCTGCTGAGTAAAATGTAGAAGGAGTTTAGGGAAGACGAGACTTTTAGCATAAAAAACGTCATTTTTCGACCCCCATACGATCCCCTTGGGCAAAATCAAAATTTTGAACCCTTACTGCACATCTACATGACCAAACCAACCATCTCCCAAAAGATGATTAGGCTGATGAATAAAATGTAAGAGAAGTTCAGGAAAGAAGGGTTTTTTTTGCATAAAAAAACGTCATGCTTCGACCCCCATTTGATCCCCTGGGGCAAAATCAAAATTCGGAAACCTTACTGCACATCTACATGGCACCACCAACCATCTCCTAAAAGATGATTAGGCTGCTGAGTAAAATGTAGAAGGAGTTCAGGGAAGAAGGGGCTTTTTGCATTAAAAAACGTCATTTTTCGACCCCCATTTGACCCCCCTGGGGCAAAATCAAAATTCCGAAACCTTACTGCACATCTACATGACACCTCCAACCATCTCCCAAAAGATGATTAAGCTACTGTGAAAAATGTAGGAGGAGTTCAGGGAAGAAAAGTGTGACAGACGGACGGACGGACATGAGTAACAACAATATACCCGAACTTTCTTTAGAAAGTGCGGGTATAAAGAAAGAAGAAATTTCTACCCCCATTTGACTCCCCCGGGGCAAACTGAAAATTCCGAAACCTTACTGCACATCTACATTACACCACCAACCATTTCCTAAAGATGATTAGGCTGCTGAGTAAAATGTAGAAGGAGTTCAGGGAAGAAGGGGCTTTTTGCATAAAAAACATCATTTTCGACCCCCATTGCAAAATCAACATTCCAAAACCTTACTGCACATCTACATGACACCACCAACCATTTCCTAAAGATGATTAGGCTGCTGAGTCAAATGTAGAAGGAGTTCAGGGAAGAAGGGGTTTTTTGCATAAAAAACGTCATTTTTTGACCCCCATTTGACCCCCCGGGGCAAAATCAAAATTCCGAAACCTTACTGCACATCTACATGACACCACCAACCATCTCCCAAAAGATGATTAGGCTGCTGAGTCAAATGTAAGAGGAGTTCAGGGAAGAAGGGGCTTTTTGCATAAAAATGTCATTTTTCGACCCCCATTTGACCCCCCTGGTCAAAATCAAAATTCGGAAACATTACTGCACATCTACATGACACCACCAACCATCTCTTAAAAGATGATTAGGCTACTGAGTCAAATGTAAAGAGAGTTCAGGGAAGAAGGGGCTTTTTGCGTAAAAAACGTCATTTTCGACCCCCATTTGACCCCCCGGGGCAAAATCAAAATTTCGAAACCTTACTGCACATCTACATGACGCCACCAACCATCTCCCAAAAGATGATTAGGCTGCTGAGTAAAATGTAGAAGGAGTTCAGGGAAGAAGGGGCTTTTTGCATAAAAAAACGTCATTTTCGACCCCCATTTGACCCCCCGGGGCAAAATCAAAATTCCGAAACCTTACTGCACATCTTCATGACACCACCAACCATTTCCCAAAAGATGATTAGGCTGCTGAGTCAAATGTAGAAGGAGTTCAGGGAAGAAGGGGCTTTTTGCATAAAAAACGTCATTTTTCGACCCCCATTTGACCCCCCGGGGCAAAATCAAAATTCCGAAACCTTACTGCACATCTACATGACACCACCAACCATCTCCCAGAAGATGATTAAGCTACTGTGTAAAATGTAGGAGGAGTTCAGGGAAGAAAAGTGTGACAGACGGACTGACATGAGTAACAACAATATACCCGAACTTTCTTTAGAAAGTGCGGGTTTAACTAAGCGAACCTTGATGATAAAGTATTTTTTGGTATCAAATAAACAATAAATAGGTCACGTAATCTTTTAGCGTGGACCCTGAGATCCACGCAGTAAATATATAAGCGAGGCTTAACAGGATGCTCTGGGCATTCGCGCCTACGCATGCGCGAGAATTCTAGAGATTTCCAATCGGCAATCTTCGGCTGACTCCGCTTCACCAATCGCAACTTCGACTAGCTTTCCGACATTTGACAGAAAGACCCAAGATGATGCGATTGAGAGTTCATTGGCGGATCAAAATTTTAATCTTGTACACATACTTTTAAACACGAACTAAACATTTAATCTATGGCACAAGTATTTTAAAAAGTATGAAGAACTTACAATTAGCTAGTCGTTGAATCTTTTAAAAACCTAGAACTAGTCGTTGGATGAAGTTTTTAATTCAAGTTGTTAAGTTATCTATAAGTCATTGAATTGAGTTTTTAATTCAAGTTATTAAGTTATCTATCTATAGATTAAAAATTAAAATTAAAAACTTCATACATACTAGTTGTAGGTTTTTAAAAGATAAAGAATTTTTCACCGGCATTAATTTTGTGCATCAAAGCTCGAAAAAAAATTGATATATATGGATTCAAATACAGCTTGATACAAGCCTTTAGCAACGGTATTCAATGTGGGGGAGGGGGGGGGGCGGCAGAAGAAAAATCTGCGTACTATAGACCTGAACTGAATTTTGAAACTGGAAAAAAATCAGTTCTGTTCAATTCAGTTCAGGTATATGTTAATTACCAGCCATTATGGGTTATATATGTATCAAAATAGCCTGGATTTGAAATTAACAAAACTATATGCCAATCGGAGATTAAATTTAACAATTTTGCTATGAAAGTACTATCGGTCAAAGTAGAGAGATCACTGTAGAAAATGCGAACGAACCTACATAAATATCCAATAAAATTTACAAATTTTCTTTGATTGAATTTCGGTTAAAAAAACATGCATATGGTCCACAAATTGTAGTCCTTTTTTTAAAGGACAGCAACTTGTTCCAATATTTTTTGCTTAGAAAATAGAAGCGGGAAGTATGAAAGCTCAATAAACGTGAACGTAAAGACGATAGACATGATTTATTGTTTTCAAACATCCTCAATCAATAAGCAATTCACTATAATAAAATATAAATGGTGCGTGGTCTAGAGGGTAACAGTTGACATTGACACAAATCGGAAAACAATGGTCAACATCCGCTAAAGCGTCGGTTGACAATGGTTTTTATTTGATGTATCAAATTAACTTTTACCCTTCAAAAAAGGCATCATTAATAGAATGGTTCCACATGTTCCAATAGTGTTCAAAATCAAGATGTAAAGTTATAGTTTTTGAAGCCAGGTGAATTATTGACAAGCAAGTTGATGAAATATTAACATCAACAGTATCGTCTAAATTCATCATTTGGTAAGTTGAAAGTCTTGATACAATGATCCTGTTAGCAATTTAAATCTTTCATCAATATGAATTTTTTCATTCATTTTAACTCTTAATGGAAGTTTGTATCATTTCCACTCTAAATTGTCAAGGGACTTTTCCATTATTTCCAGATCAATAAGATGGAGTACACATCGTGTGTAACTGGTAAGTAGGAGAAACCTACTGCTCTATGTCACCTGATCACACATCTGATGCTTTAAAAGTCTTCGTATGCTCTTCTCATACACTGTTATTTTTAATTCGGCCTTTGAGATTGAATATAGTTAGTATCTGCATAAATTTACTTTTACAATATATCTCTATAAGTATACGATAGATTTTTAAATATACGCGTGTAATTAAAGATCACGTAATTTCGAGCGAAACAGTACACATGTAATAAAATTATTCGCCTTTATGTTTATGGTGCTGAAATCTCTGTAAAATCTCTTGATCAACTCTCCATTTGCAAATTATTATTCTCGCGATTTGCTGTTGAAAAACCCGTTCAAATAAGACTCATAAGAACTTGCAAAAAATAAGGAATATGGAGTATCAAAGATTATTAAATGTATCGTATCAGGATTTAAAACATAATTTTTCTATACAGTAGATCGCTAAAATATCATAAAACCTGTTTTCTCCGGGTAGGCATTGACTTTATTAGCAAGACAGAAAGTGAATTTTGGATACTTCTCTTTATGATCTTAAGGTATGCCGATATACGCGATCGATATTTTTGAAAACAAACTGTCTCGACTGATGATGCGAAAATAAAGTTCTCGTGAACATAAGCAATTTACAGTATATAATTTTAAATGATTAATACATTTACATTTTGAGGACTGAAACATTCTAAAGAGAATATTGACAAAATCAATGAAGACATTTGTTATGAACTTATCATATTTATTTATTTATTCTACAGAGTATTTTCAAACGAAAGATTGTGATAGGTATTATCCTCACTATTTATAGCATTAAGGTCCTGATAGGTATGTGTATTTTCAGTCTTTGTAGGACATACGTCATCACATTCAGCATACTGTCTTGATGCTTCCAATCCATTTTGAATGTATTTCCTACTCAAGAAAAATAAAAGTTAGTGTTTTACTAAGAAATTTAATTATAACATTTTAAAACTGATTTTTGAAACATACATTTGATTAATATTGACTTAAACGATAATGATATACTTACCTTCGGAGTATGACTAAAATAGTAGATACATTGATGACTATTAAAACAGCTAACGCTACTGACAAAGCTATGACATAACCGTAATAAGAATCACTCTCAGAAAGATTACCAGCTGCCGATTTAAGACACGCTACAAAAGAAATGCAACAAAACTTCATCTATTCAGAGTTAAAAAAAATTCAAAGATGGGTATAAAACAGGGAAGAGTTTGTTTAAATTTTACATATTGTAGACGAAAGGTTTCGATTTTTTAGAGAGAGAGAGAGAGAGGGAGAAAGAGAGAGAACAAATAATTAAATATAATAAGTCATGAATTACGTAAATATACTCACTTTTCGTATTTTTGTCACATTTAACTGCTGTAAATGGTTCTGCACAACCAATTAGACAAGCCCCATTTGTCCTGTTGCACGTGTTGTTGAAAGCACATTTACCACAAATTTGTTCGCAGTCCTCTCCATACCTTCCATCATTGCACTCTTTTAAATATTCGAAATAAGGTGTGAAATATGCATATGTGTATACAACAGCAAAACAAGTAAAACTTTCTTTTAATTGTCATATCAATTCAAATATTCAACAAAAAGTGTTAATTGTACCCTTTTACCTTCTGAACAGTTTAAACCCGTCCATCCTGCCTCACAACCGTATGTACATACGCCTTGAACGTTGTCACATGACTTGTTTCTACAGTTAAGGTGACACAATTGGGAACAATTTCGACCAAACCATCCATGTAAGCAAGCTTAGGAAACAAGATTTTAAACATATGAGTTAAGCATGCTTCAAAACTATCTGTTTTTTATTAGAAAAATTAGGTCTTGTGAATTTTGATCAATAAATAATGACATACGTTGTTCGCATCTTTGACCAATATAACCATCAGTGCACTCCTGAATACAAATACCGTTGACAGGATAACATGCGTTGTTGAGGCAATTTAAACACCTTTTTAAGCAGTTATTACCATAAAATCCTTCACCACATGCTACAAGGAAAACAGAACTGAATAAAAGTGAATAAAAGTCAAACATACAGTTTTATTCTTGAACGAATTAATAAATTTAGGATTTGAGGATTTCTGGAAAATAATACAGACAAAAGTTTAAAAAAAACTATCCATACCAGATGTGTTTTTTCTTATACCTCTACTAGCTGTTATTACTCTATATTAAATCAATTCCATTATACTGCCTTTTTCTTTGAGATGAGACTATTTTCCTCATCTGGGGTATACACTCTGAAAATAAGAGCTACTCATTGGAACTACTTCCTCATGAATATCTTAATCATTTAAAATAAACAGTAGAGGGAGCGTTCAAGAGATCTCGAGTCTATGGCGTTATGTTATAAGCGATGTAAATATGGCATACAATAATAGAATCATCCCGGAATTGACGAGAAAATAAAACAGTAATACTTCTAAATACATAGTAAAATTATTTTGATGTTCATTAAACTTATATTTTTATTCAAAGGTATTAATATATTAGATAGCTACCGATATTTTTCACATTCATTTATGACAGTTTATATGCCTCTATATTGCTTTTAAAACATCTTAGTCTCTAGTTTAATAAATATCTTATGATTGTTTCGGTATAATTAATACAGCAGTTATGAAAAGTGAACTTGGAAAAAAGCAATTTATAGTTCCCCTAAGAAGGAAACTATTCGACACCCCTGGGAAACCCCCCACCCCTTCGAGGAAACATAAATTTGGTATTTCCCTAATACTCATTCCATAACTGTTTGATATGTATGAATTAGTAATAGATCTTAGATTTGCTGAAAGAGTGTAGACAAGAACAGGACTAAATGTAACATATGTTCCTTCTGAACGGAAAAATCCCATGATTAAAAATATTTCCATTATTTCTTTCGTTAACATGTATATAGATATAGAAAAGACGACTCTACATTCATTAATAACAGCAATGTCGTGCAACATAAGACAAAAACATTAAGATCTGTAGTATATTATAATGGTATGGACCGGTGACATTCTAGTAGAAGCTTTTGTATTGAGTCCTCTAGTAGAAAAACAATTCACATGCGGTAATGATGAAACTAGACATCAATCAAAACCCTGTTAGTTAATAAGTATATTACATTTAAAAGTTTAAAATCCATACATTGTATTTCTTGTTCACAAATGATCCCTTTTGTCTACATCATTGGTTCCTGTCTTTGTGCGTAGGATAAAAGAACACGGGTATGTTAAGAAAAACTTAAAAATCATTCGCGTGAAATTTACACTTTTTAAAGAATATTAAGTTTGACAATTGATCATAACCGCTGATAAACGTACACTATTATTAATTATGGCATAAGATAATGAGTGTCTAACGCAAAGACTTGCACCATCAACACGACATCACGTTACTTCAATTAATTGCGAAATGTTTCTTAATACAAAAAAAAACTAACAGAACAACAGAACCTCGGAGTTTGATAACTTTTTCAAAGTAACTTATATAGTCAAAAACATATATTATACCTAAAAAGTGTTGCTAAAATTCCACTGTCCTGTCAGTAAAATAATTATTCCACTCATTAGCACGAAGTTTTGAATTGTATACGTATGACCCGAGATTTTTTGCGAAACTGTGCTAACCTCGAGATACTAGGATCACTTTCCAAGTATTTTAAAAGGCAAACTTTTGATCTATTCAAATCTGATGTTTTCAAATATCCAGCTTACTATTGTTCTTCTATATATTTTTGACACTAATGACAGTGGAATGTCCAACTGGTATACGTATACGGCTGATTGTCTTCAACATAGAATATAATAGATGAAAAAAAATTAGCATACCCGTTTAATAAACTTTAACTCCAAATGAATTTCACATAATATTCACGATATTTGCTTCTCAACTCCAATGTACGTATCTTTGACATGCCACTGTTGCCAAATTATGTTTACACGACAGGATTAATTCCCAAGTTACATGCACTTGATGTACACATATGACGTCATCAGTGGTAGATTATAAACAAAATGAGAGATACAACATAACAAAAATGAAAAAAAGAAATATTTTTGTGAATGTTAACATGTTTCTATTCATTTTCTAGAGTTAAGTTACATATATCCAGAGACGTATAAGAGAGGGACCGCTGACTCTTTCGGAGCACTCTAGATTTTTCATGACGTTTCAAAAATTCGAGCTCCGAATGGAAAATCATCTTCCGATTTTCGCAGCGCCCTCACCGGGAGGCATAGAAACTATAAACAGTATGGCGTTTCATTATAAGAATGGGTAGAAAACATCGCTAAAACTTCAATTTTATGCAAAATTTACTTGTGGCATTAATCGTAGGAGGATTAGATACGTTCGTTTGTATCATGTGTATGACGACAAAGCATTGAGAACAAATTTAAATACAGTAAATAGATTAAATCCATCTAACCCATGTCTCTAGTTGCATTTGTTCAGTCTGTCTTTTAAAAACTATAACAATAAAAATACACTATAAAATGTATTTTATAGTGTAGGATGAGACCAGTTGTGACGAGCTCATTTGTTTGTAATGTTGATATTGCAGGTGCATGTATCAATTACTTGGTTTTTAATACATACGTAGGTGTTACAGATGTGTTGGGTTTCAGGTTGGTGTATGACAGCATGTTGTTTGTTTTTAGACTTTCATTAAATAATTATTTTTAAAAAAGGCTGAAATTAATGTTTTTTAGTGTATTATATTGCTGTATAGAAAAATATATCTATATCATTATATTTTTGTTTTTTTAAACTACATATATCTACATTATTTTGGCATTAAAAAACAAAACAAAATACAGTTAAAAAATACACCATCCTGAAACCAGACTAATGTTGTAACATGAATCTAGTCTAGCAACTCATACATTGTATGATTTACTGGTTTTTAAAACAATGTTTAAGTACTAGACTCGTGCTAATTTTTACATATTTAAAAAAATTAAAATATACACTACCCCATGATGCTTTCACATAAGTTTCAGCTTTCCTGACCCAGCCACAGGTGCTTGAGGACAGGACCACCCCCTCCCCTAATATAGACCCTCGGGCCTATTAGAATTTTTTCACATAAATTTAATATATATGGATGACACATTTGTGATATAATCTATCCTATCAATTCAGAAAATTTGCTTAAACCAACATTTTATAACAAAATTTCTAACCACTCTCTATAGTTGATTTTTATATATAGAATGTAGGGTAGATTTTATAGAACATTTGTTTTAGGTAATTTTTCGATTTGTTAACGTTGGTATAGATCTTATCACAAATATGTCAATGGAAGATTATTCATAAGAAAAAAGTCGAAAAAGCCCAGGGGTCTATATCGAAAGGGGGGGGGGGGGTTCCTGTCGTCAAGCACCTGTGGACCCAGGTTCCTGAGAAATTTTAAAGTTTTTTCCTATATATTTCCATGTAAAACTTGGATTCTAAATCATGGCCCCATTCTACCCCTGGGGTCATAAATTGAACAATTTAGAATCTACACTACCCTAGATGCTTTCACACAAGTTTTTCTGGCTGTGGTTCCTAAGAAAAAGAATTTTTCCTTTTAGATTACATTCTATGTATAACTTGGCTTCCTTATTGTGACCCTGCCCTACCTCCAGGGGTCATGATTAAATAATATAGAATTTGCACCACCTTAGGATGCTTCCACGTAGGTTTCAGGTTTTCTGGTCCAGTGGTTCTTCAACTTGAGAAGAAGATTTTTAAAGTTTTTTTCCGTATATATTTCTATGTAAAACTTTGATTCCTTAGTGTGGCCCGGCCCAACTGGGGGGGGGGGTCATGATTTAATCAATTTAGAATCTACACTAATCCCAAGATGCTTCCACAGTTTTTACTTTCTGGCTCAGTGGTTCGTGAATTTTTTTTCAAGACCCCACCCTATTTTTGTCTCTTCTTGAACATCTCCCTTTGTAGGGAACTTGGCCCTTCATTTTAACAATTCAAACTCCCCTTCAACCAGGGATGCTTTGCACCAGTTTGTTTAAATTGACCCAGAGGTACTTGAGAAGAAGTCGAAATTGTGAAAATTTTAGTTGGACATACAACAGACAAAATGTCATTACAAAAGCTCACTTGAGCCTAAAAACTAGGTGTTCAAAAAATACAAAAATATGCATTGGCTAAGTTTAAGTTAGATTTATTGTCATACATTTAGGCCTAGTACATGTACATGTAGTATATTTTAGTTTATACATGTGTGCATCACATAGAAATTTGAAATGTTCATCACACATTTCTTTATTCAGAATTTACAGTCCAAGGAGTGGGAAAATGTTTGGAAAGAATATTCATTAATTAAATTCTTGGAGGTCTTAATTCTTTTTTTTTTTTACAAAAACAATGGATAGAGATGGCTCAGAAAAAACATAAAAGTTTCTGATATTATTTCTTATTCATTTGCAGTATTGTTAAAAACCACACAACATGTCAATGTTTGTTTCAGTGCCATTTTGAGTGTGGCTATATTTTATGCAGCAACACAATTTTAAGCTTTACAGCTTACTGAACAACTATTTGTTGTCTTATTCATCCTTGGATCTCACTAAAAACACCCTTATGAAGCAGGTCAAGGTCTTTTGGGAAAACAACTTCAGAATCTTATAGAATCAATCAAGAGAGGTACTGTTACTCTGAAAATATGAAAAAGACAAAATCAATGAAGAAAAGAATTTAATAGCCCCATGAAATATACCTGTAAAACCTGGGATAATTGTTCATTATTTATTATTCAGTATATTTTAAAAAAACTACAAAAGCAGTAAAAAAAAAAAAGATCAACAATCCCCATGAAACAAGGACACCGCAAGGCGGAGCATCTCCTCGCAAAGAACATATAAGATTATCACTCTATAAATCAAGGTAATACATGTACAACTGTACATGTATTCGATATTAATCCTGATGCAAATTTTGATGTAAATAACACGTTTACAGTCATGTGAAGCAAAATGATACATTTTAAACAAATTATTGTGATATAAATGAGTAAAAATTGCCACTTACTTAATAGATTTATGGTGGTCAGGATAAATTCACCCATAAAAATTTATGCATTCTTCATTTCCTCTGCTTGCGATCTGTGTCTGTTGTTCTGACATACCTGGAGATTACATGAACAAGTGTTCATCTTTACAAGATGTAAAAATTTAACATCCTTATTATACATTCTTGGATATACAAAAAAGTAAATAATACATCTCAATACTATGATCAAGTCTTTAAAATGTTGAGAAACTCTCAGGCCCCTTTTGTGAGAAGGAATTTCAGTTTTTGGGACAAATCTCAGTTGAGCAAATAAAAAAGGAAAAGAAAAACATATGAGTTTTAAATAATATTTATTTAAGGGAAACATTAAAGCAAAGGTAGTTTCTAATGTTCGAATAGCACATACCAGTATTATATTGATGGGGGAAGGGGGGGGGGGGTCCACAACATATACAGTGTACCCATTTACTGTTGAAAATGTACACTAAGATAACTTGTCCTACATTTACATACCCCCCCCCCTTTTAAAACGAAACGTGCCTGTATACTTGCTAATTTTTCCTCCTTGCTCACCGGTTCCTAAGGGCCTGAGTCTACAATGTTTATGAAGATAAAAGGAGCAACTTTTCAACAAGAGAACATTTTTATTCAGAATTAATAATGTTGTACCGACAACGACAAGATAACATCATGATGCATGGTCTCATGTTATACGTGTTATCTTTTTAATTTCTCTTTGTAGCTGCAAAAATACACCATAGATATCCACCTTACATGTCTTATGTAAATTATTATTGACATGCAGGCTATAAATAGTAAAATATACAATATATTAGCAATATTTACCCCACTTCGATGAAAACACTGCAGCTAATACGACCGGAAGTCTTTCTATGCCTCCCGGTGAGGGCGCTGCGAAAACATGAAGATAATTTGGCGCGAAAATGAGTTAGCGGTCCCTCTCTTATACGTCTCTGATATATCTAAATACCAATATCACAAAAACTCGTTTTCTAAAATAAACGTCATCTTGCCCACTATGACGTCATAATGTATTACTGATTAAACACCCAATTTTATGTCAACGCCCCCAAAATCTACCTGATTCAAGATCAATAATTTACCGCCTGTCAATCATTAAAAAAAACAATAGCTTCTGATTTGATTGACAGGCCAGCTACCCGTGCTACCTGATAGTCTGAGTTTGTGTCCTTTGAAAACGATTGCCTGGTCACGCGTCAAACACTTTCATGTAGTCGCCTTCATACACGGGGGTTAAAAAAAGAATCTTGGTAAAATTTTATTTTAAAAACAATTGAGAGTAGATAATTAAAACATGACTTCATAAAATATTTGCTTTTAATCTCAACGGCTATATTGTATTTCAGGCGATGTGTGCTCTGTAGAATTTAGACCACTCCGTGCACAGAAACGCTAATTGCCGATTAAAATTGAAATATGATAAATAAGAAAAGATATTTAGCACAAACGGCACGGATAAAAAATTCGTTTGCCCATGTTTTATCTACCTATATATGAATACAATCTATACCATGTTCCGTTGTAAAGAAACAGCTAGGAGTTTCGAGATAGTAACTTTTAGTTCGAATTTCCTATCATCTGTCAATACCCAATATTCGAAATTAAAAAGTGAATATATACAGCCAAAGATCAATTTTTAAAAGTATAAAAGAAATCTTGCAAACAAGAAAAAAAATTAAACACACGAACACCCGGAAATGGTGAATATTTTCGACACTATTGTTGATCAGAACGTATGCAATCGTGGTACGGTACATTGTATATGTTCACACGACGGATAGGGCTACCTATGAATGGAATATTTTATTATTTTCTTTTTAATTTTGATATTTACACAAGTTTAATTTAAAAAAAGATATGTTTACTTTGTAGTTTTACTCTGTGTTCTTTTCTTTAATTTGTCATTTTTTTTAAATATAAAAACGATAGTTCTGTATATAATTTCTTTTCTTCATTATATACCGCTGAAAGTATTTATAAAATTTTTTTTATTGAAATATTTCAATTATTTCAAGTAGTTTCACTCAAATTTAGACACGAAACACGGAATATTGACCCTGATCACCAGACACAGACTTCCTGTGTAATGCTACGTGTATATAGATTTTTGACATCTTGGGTATTGGGGGTCTCCAGGTAAATAACACCACTGTTACTAAGACCACTCCCCCTCCTCAGGTAACCGTACGGTAAAAAAATTGGGTCTTTAAGTCAATGTAGAAAATTCTGTATGCTTTCTTATTACCCTTGCGAGGAGATGAAGATCTAATATTGGAAAGTTAAGCGCTAAGGATTGGGTACAATTTGAAGCCCTTCACCAGCGTAAAATATCGTCTCCATATGACTAAAAGGATTTGAAATGGGGCTTAAATCAACAATCTATCAAAAGGTTTGAAAGTCCAATGCAGTGTCTTTTAAAATTTGCTAAATTCCTACAAAACGGATTTTGGATACATTTATAAATTAATGTTTTCCTTAGTTTATATAATCTTTTCAATTTGTAGACCTTCTTATATATACAAACCTTGACTGCAGTTTGAACCAGTCCATCCTGGTTTACACCCATAGCTACACTCTCCATGTACATTGTGACAGACTTCCCTTTGGCAGTTAAAGCTGCAACGTCTGGAGCAGTTTTCCCCATACCATCCTTCGTTGCACTCTTTTGAAAAAAATAAAGAAGAATAACCGAGAAGGAATAAACAACAATTAAAGTTTTTGCAGCTTTAAACATGGTACAACTATATATTAGGATAAATTAATTTATTTTTATAATCTCCAATTCGCGATTGAGCTTTCTTTCATTCTGAACGTAATCATAATTGTTAGTTTCTTGCTTTGCCTTTAGAATATTTTTGAAGGATGCATCAAAAATATTTTTATAGAGTGTTATTACAATATCTTTCTGAATGCAGTCGGTTTATAAACATTATATATAATTATTGACATACTTTCCGTACAGGTGTTTCCCTGGTATCCGTCTTCACATCCTTCAGAACAAAAACCATTTTCATGGATGCAGTTTTGACCTCGGCATTTGATATTACAGATCTCAGAACAATTTTGACCATACGTGCCTTTTGAACACGCTGGAAGAAACATGTATACATTGTATTTATGTTTTAAACGTGAGCACAAAGAGTCATGCCAAAGATATCGCTTCTGATATTAATTTTAAAAACTGTCTTTGAGAAATTATTTGCAAGTTTGTTTTTCACTTTGTTTTTATAAAAATGCAAATCATACTTACAATTATTGCAAAATTTTCCAATGTAGCCAGGTGCACAACTTTCACATTTCCCACTTGCCTTGTCACATGGTAAACTATTTTTACAATGACTGCTGCATTTATAGATACAATTAGGTCCATAAAATCCACCATGACATGCTTAAAATAAGACACATGACAAGCAAAATGTATTAGTTTGTGAATTAAATACATTTACCTTTATCTTGAGCTCTCCATTTTCAAATTGATAACACAGTCACTATATGAACCTAATGCATGACCCTGGATTTTTACACAATAACATTCTATTAATCGTCATTACTAGCTCTAGTAGACAATGGAAGCAAATTTTAAAATAAAGATCGTTCAATGATGAATTTTGAACCAGATTACTTTTCCTTCGTTAAGAAGTAAGATATGAAATGTCGTAAAATGAGACATGAGACCTACGTTGATCACAGCTGGGTATTATCCACCCTCCCTCGCATCCCTGATCGCATTTCCCACTTATATAATTACAGGAAGCACCAGCAAGGCAATGACCTGAGCATTTTGTTTTACACTCCATACCATAGTAACCAAACATACAAGCTATTTGAATATAAAAATACTTTACATTGATCCTCTTAAAAGTATGAATAATTAAATAATTGATTTTTTTACTTTTTACTTAAAATCATGAATAGCAAGCCAAAGATTAAAGAAGCTATTATCGGCTTTCCAAATGACAGAATCTGTATATTATCTTACTGATATAGTGAAAGAAGCATTTAGGAATTCAAAAGTTTTCAAATTGCCTTACTTTTATCTTGATTTAAATTTCATCATTTTAAAAATGATTTATTTTACTTATGATCCGGTTTAATTCCAAACTCCTTCACAGGAAATATGAAGTCTTACTTTCGTTACAGAAATCTCCGCTCCATCCAGCTGTACAACCAAGACAGGTTCCCTGTATTATATGACATCTTCTGTCTTGGCAGTGAAGAGGACATACAAGATCACAGTTTCTACCATAAAATCCATTTTGCTTACAGCCTTAAAATACAAAACAAAAGTATTGTATTGAAGATATTTACATAGTGTTATATAAATATAAAACTAGATAGAGAATAGTACATGTAGCAAAATATTACCAATCACATTGACTTCACATAACTCTGTAATAACAACGGTGTTCTGGTAACCGGCGGGATATTGCGGCTTATTTCTTTCATTGTAAAATGTAACATATCGTCCATGAATGGTACAGACATTGGTAAAATCTAACAGAGGTAATTCCGGTCCGTCCTTGTAACACAGATAACCGCTCTGTATGTTTGATGTGTTCGAAACATATAACGAAAACCCTGCCATTCTTCCTCTTTGACGATTATCTAAATTTATGTTAGAAACGCATTACGTATACTCAGCAATGCATATAAAATATAGCATTTGAAAAAGTACCTTGTTGATCACTTAATCAATATTTGTTATGATTTTTTTTAATTTTATGTAAGGTCGGTACTTAATTACTGTAAACGCGTGGTTATATTGACGAGTTGAAAAATTGACGATTTTTTGTTTACGAAAATTGACGAGTGTTAACTTTGACGAAATATGGAGTCAAGAATCATGTACCTTTGAACTGACGTGGAAAAAAAATGAATTCCAGAGTTAGAGATGGACCATCTTCAGTGTGTAACATTGTAAAAATCGTATAAATGTAGAAGGTTCGATTACATTAATTACCCTTTTGTATTTTGTTTTCTTTATGGGAGGTCAACATTACCGCTACATTGCCAAAACTTTTAAAACTTTCAACTCATTACCGCTACATTTTGTCAGATTTTCGACCGATCATTACCGCTACATACTGAATCAGACAAAAACAACTCATTACCGCTACATATCGATTTAGCCAGGTATGGTTCGGAATATGAGAATTCACTCACTATCTAATCAGAATGAGTACATGCATATATATGTAAGACTCCAAGGTCCGATGG